AGATTATGAGAATTTAAGGACTGCAGATTTGCCAAAATAAATTGCTACTTGTTTGGACAGCAAACAAGGTGCTTATGGAGTATTTACACTGTTGTAATACACTTCCAGCCTTTCTCTCTGCCTTACCATGTTTTTAACTATTAACATTAGAGAAGTCATTAGTGCTATTTGAAGAAATATGAGGTATGCTTCACCCAAATGCTATAAATAACTAATTAGAATGATTAGCTGGAGAATGATTTGACTCTCTGACATTTAACATGTTCTAGAATTTTGAAAAAAGAAAACATATGGAATAGTGTTTAAAAAATATTTCCAGAAAGAAAATACTTGTTCATTGATTTGGAATTAATTGGTCAGTTACAGATTTGTTAAACTTTTAAATATGTGTAAGAGTAACTAATTCACCTCCACAGATCCCCAGTTTCTTATTCCAGTCCTACACTGCTCCTTTAAATGAGGCCTGCCTCGCTTTCAATTCAAAACCTTTACTCCTGTGGAGTCCAGAACTCAGGACCAATTGAGGTCTTATATTCACCATCAAACACACTCAAATATGCTCCTAACTCAGGGACTGTCATGAACACCAGTCAAACATATCAAGGTAAAAGGATGTCTTTTGCACAATAGAGAGAAAACAATACAGTCTCCTTCCAGAATATTAAGCTGTATCAGCAGTAACAGAAAATAAGCGGATATGTGAAATCCATCTAGTATAAAAAAGAGCAAAGTAAAATGATGAGTTTACGAGTTTTATCTGTCTTCCCTTTTCATGGTGAAATTTAGCTTGAAATCCGAAAATAAGCAACTCTCCAAATATGCTTCTTAAGATTGCACAAATATTTTCAAAGGTAGTTCATTTGAAAATAAAATGTTAGTCGTTCTTCGTTGAAAAAGAATTGTAAAACACTAAGCTTTGTAGTGTATTGACATACAAATCATAGTCCCAGTAACTTCATTCACTAATTCAAAAACCTCTGCTAAGCGTGAGAAAAGGATAAAATACTCATTTAGCTTAAATTTCAGTTGGCTGTTAATCAAACAATTACTAAAGTGCAAAGGATTTAATATATTTGGGGTTTATAATTTGGAGGCAAACAAACTCCAATACACCTAACTAAAAATAATGAAGCAAAACTTGTATGGTCTAACCCTCTTAGTCAGATAAAACTATAACAGAAATATGGTTTTTTCTGAATAAATGAAATAAATATTTGGTTATAATGAATTTAATTAAAAGGTGTTTAATTAAATTGAATTTAAAAGTTGAATAAAAGTTGTTTGAAGATATATTAGAAACACATCATAAGCTTTTTTCTTAACCTTTTGAGAACCAAGTGATTTGACTATAATGGAGAAAACTTTTCAGACCCCAGAACTGAAATACATTCTTTCTTCATGATTGTGTAAGGAAGGTGATAGTGTAGCTCTCCCTTTTTTCTAGTCCTCTGATATAAAATTTTTCTAGAAATATAGTTTGTCAAAAAGAAACTAGAGACAAACCTTTCATAGCAATGCACTTACCCACTTGGTGTGAGTGGTAGAAAGGAAATGATAGGGTAGAAATTACCTCGTTAGTTTAGAGAATTATTTCAAGGCCTGGAGACACCTGAGGGCGTGCCCCACTGGACTTGGTTACTTTGTATGCATGCTACTGTGCAGTGTTATTGGGGACAATATATAGATCACCCTGAGGGACTTGAAGAAGAAAGGGCATAGTCCCCACACCCTGCCATTTCTCAGTGTGGGTGTAGTTGGGAAAAAAAGTTGTTCACAATTTGACCTCCACATGGAATATGCAAAATTCTTTCAAAGCCATTGCCTCTTCACAGCAGTGTAACAAGAGGCTATATACACAATGCAGAGCACAGCAAGCCCCACTGGCTATTTTCTCTGCCCAGAGTACTTCTCACAAAACTAGTCACTTCTCCTCCTTCAGGACTCCACCCCAAAGCCAACTTCTCACTGAGTCCTTTCCTAACTTCACCAATCCAAGTTGCCCTCCCTTTACCTCCACCCTATCTCATCACTCTCCCACAAAACACTTCATTTTCCTTTACAGCATGTATCACTACTAGAAAACATTTTCTTCATTTCTTTACTGATTTAGTGTTTCCTTCTTCCCACTGAAAAGTAATGCTTCTTGAGGTTGTCACCAGTCCTGGCTAAAGAACCATTGCCATTCCTTTGCAAATATTTATTGTATGTCAGAGGCTGGGTACACAATGTTCAGCAAAGCAGGCATGACCCTTGATCTTACTTTCTTGTAGTTTATAGTGTAATGGATGAAACCTATATTAACCAAATAACTACATAAAGCAATTGTAAAATTATATCTGTGATTAGTGCTGGGAAGGAGAGAGATATGCACTAACTGAGTGGATAATGGAAAATCTACTTGAGTCAGGGAGGTCGGAGAAGGTTTCTCGGTGGAAGTGACTTTAGAGCTAAGGTTTCAAAGATAAGTAGACATTAAGTGAGGAGATTCTAAGCTGAGGGAAATGGAAAGGCCCTGTGGCAACAGGGAAAATGATGTACCTAAGTGACTGCGGGAAGGCAGATGCAGCTGGAACACAGGAAGCTGTGGAGAGCAAGCTGCAGGGTGGATCATAGGGGTCACCAGGAGCTAGACCAGAGCCGGGATTGGTGAGCTGTGACTACCTCTCATTTATTAGGAGTGATTAAGTCTTCTGTGTGTGCAAATGTGGGAGTGTGTGTGTGTGAGTGAATGTTCACAGGGGAGCATAATCGGGTTGTACATTCTAAAGATGGTTATGGTTATTCTGTAGAGGACAGTTGACTAGAGAGAGATAAAAATAGTGTAAGTGGACCACTTAGGAGGTCATGGCGGTACCCCAGGGACAAATGATTGACATTTGAATTTAGGTGGTGCACTTGGGAAAGAAAGTAAGTAGGTTGACCCCAGAAACATTAAAGATACAAAATTGAAAAGACTTGATGTTGGATTGGATAGGAAAGAAAATAAGCCAACTTGCTACTTGAGTTGATTAATGCTGCCATCATTATCTGAAAGCGAAGATACTACAAGGAGATATGGTGGAGTATAGAGATCATGAACTTGGCTTTGACATGTTAGGTTAGAAGACTTTATAGGGAACTTGAATAAATTATGACTTGCTACACTTCTTGAATTTCTATGAGTTAGTTTTAGCCCTATTCAATTCAACCTGGCCAATTACTATCACTCTCTAAAATAATTTTGTTTATCATCCTTCTTTAATAGCCAAATGGAAGCATGCAGTTTTGTTTTCTACAACTTTAAATTCTACATATTGTGTGAAGCACCAAGAAGGCCTAAACACCAACTCAATAATTTTTACGGTTGTGAGAATTGAGGGATGGGCTGTTGGTGGTTTCATCTGTAAAGAAATAAAATCAGTAACTTGAAACCTGAGATCAAAATCATATATCAAAAAAAAAAAAATAACAGAATACCAACACACAGTTTTATAGAACCTGAGCCTAAATTGTCAAAATCATACTGCGTTTAATACAGACATCCAAGTCCAGTCAAAATAACGTTTCATAGTATCAGATTAGAATGTTCACAGCACATCGCAAGTCATTTGGATTGATGTCACCTCCCCAACACACTTGGCCTTCACTGTTGATTGTCTACCCAACAAGCAACAGAGCCAGGTAGGAGATATTTTATCTAAAATAATGCACAGTTATGCTGAGATCTATTTGTGACGTACTTTTTAAAGGCAGTGCAAAAATGTCTTCTGATACGTTGAGAAAGATTATCTAGAATTAACCAGAAAATATTTTGTTCCTTTTATATATTTCTATTATTTTAATTCTGTGGAAACTCTGGGATAGTATGCAGAAATTCTTTCCATTTTTAAATCATTTTGTGAGTTCAATTTAATATTACTTTCTGGAAAGATATCTTCCATTTTTTTTAATGTATCTATCTATCTGTCTATCTATCTACCTTCACATATGTGTGTGTAACTACTCTAAAATATTTAATTACTATATATGTTCATAGTTTTGTTTGACTTAAAATTTTATGTAAAATTCCATTACTTTAAATAATAATAATTTTCAGAAAGAGCAACACTAGTCTAAACTAATATAAAAACTGTAATTTTTACAAATATATAAGCCCTCCCAAATAAGGTAATTTAACAAATGGTATTTTTCTGAGTAAGCAAAGTAAATGCCAACTTGCTAACCTACTTTGCAAACTTCATCAAGTAACCTAAACAAGCAATCTGTTCATTCATATATCAAGTAGTTAAGAAAAAAAAGAATTTGCTGATGATATTAAAGTGGAAACAGAACCTTTCCAGAGTTTGCCATTATATTTGCTCTCACTTTAAAAAAAATCCGTTTTTAATTACTATGATTTAATTTGAACCAAAATCAAGTGAATATATATACTCCTACAATTTAATCCACTTCTAGAAATAGAGAAAATGTGTTTATGCAGGCAGCCACCAGGAAAGCCATCACATGTAGACAGTGATGTGGATCAAAGGGATGTTTGAGTCCTTTCATTAACAACTATGTGATAAAGGGACACAAGCTTGAAGAAATGCCTTTCCCATTCGGAACAGGTAAATGATCTGTCTGCAATGTCTGTCACTGCCAATGGCCAGCCTGGATGCTCTGTCATGGTTATGTAGTTGGGTAGGAAGACCATCCTGCTAAGGGTTATGTGTGCTCCGCTGGATGTTTATGTCAGCATTGGCCCCATGACTGCAGTGATGTCTACCGCTGAGTGAGCATCCCTGATATCTAAGCCTTACATCTCACACTGAAAACTACTTGCAAGCAATATACAGAAACTTATCAATTGAAACTTATTAAGTATTATTTGCCCAATATTCAGAGAACAGAGAGCTATTCTACTCAATGTAGGGAATACACTTATTCAGAAAATTTCAGTGTTCCTTTTTATATTAACATTTATTGTTTTCTAATTATACACAATACTTGGCATATTAGAAAAATTTACAGATACGGAAAAATATATTAAAAAGAGAATGAAAAACGCCCATAATCCCATCTCCAGAAATGGCCCTGTCAGCATTTTGGTATAGTTCCTTCCTGTCTACTTTATGCATATGTAACTTTTTAATACAACTAAAATTGTACTATATATGGCGTATTAGGCCAGTTTTTAATACAATAATATAATTTTCCATGTCATTAAATGTTATTTAAAAAAAAGAATTTTAAAGTCTCTACAATGACCAATTGGTTAGCTGTATGGTAATCTATTTAGCAGGTAATGTACTTAACGATACATATGCTATTTCCAACCTTCATTATTTTAAAAAAATTGAATTTTTACAATTCTTTTCTAAACTTCTGAATTCAATGCCCTTTAAACCATTATGTGAAACACTGACACATCAGTTTTAAAGCATAATAAATAAATCGTTCAACAGACATAAAAATAATCTAACTTAAGATTTTTAATAAAAATGATATAAGTAATGAAAGAGCTACTTTATGTAAATCACAACATTTGAAGGCATATTACTTCAAAGGGGTGTCTTGTTTCTAAAGGCACAATTTTCAAAGATGCACCAGGTAGCAAGTGCCACTTGTGGTGATAGTCTTTGTGTTGAGAAAAATGCCTAAACTTTTGCTATATCAGTGACTGCTGTGATCTTGTCTCATAAGTGAGATCTCAGGCACATTTTTGTCTTCTTACAAGGAGAAGAGTCCTGGAGTAGCTGGGGCGCTGAAGGGGAGCCGTTCACGTATGGGCCACTGCAGCAGGCAGAGGATCTTGATTGTCAGAATCAACTGTTCATGCTACATAAGGCAGGCAACCGTTACCAACATGTTCATTGAATGGCAGTGCAAAGATGATCAACTACAAAGTGCTCATCTGTAATTTGGGTTGACTTTATAGTAGTCTGAGAGGTTGGGATAAATAAACGAAACATTGTCCAGATAATTCACATGAATAAACTTGATAAAGAGTGTTGAGAAAACATCTTTCCAACAATTAGTCTTGTATTGGCTTTTCAAAATATTTTAAATAATGATTCTATTTTTAAATAATGATTCTAAATTTGTCTTAGCTGGAAAATCCATCAAAATCACTGTATTTCAACATTGGCATCTATGAATCACTTTATTATAGATTATTTCTATTCCATTTAGTTACTAAGTATTCAAATGTCTAAAATCCAAAATAAGTAGTTTAAATATATTAAATAACAACTGTGCTAGTCAGTGTGTTTGAGTTCAAAATGTCTGAAAACAACAACTGCACACAAACCCCCAATTCAACCTGCCTAGTAATTTGCACCACACAGAAGCTAATCTAAATCAGCAGTGTCATTCTAAGGTTATCTAAGACAACAACTAGACAATGGTTATTCTTTTCCTGAAGGTATGGGCAAAACAAATTTAGACCCTTTCCTCTGATTCTCAGTCCATCGCCCGCCAAACAATGACACAGTTTGGCATATGACTTCACCACTCTTGAGTGACTGAACTGGAAAGGGTGCTATGGTCTTCCTGACAGCGACCTTCAAGGAGGGAGCTGTGTTAGTGCCACCCTCATCCTTCAGGTACACTTCATAGGCAAGGCTTACTGCTCTCAAGAGACAATTGTGTACCCTAAGTGAGTAGCATAACACATACCATGTGCATTATTTCATTCACTAAGTAAGAACTGCCCTTACCAGAGAAGGCTAAAACTCACCCAATAGCAGACAGATCTTTTATTCTCACATTTGAAAGCACAGGTTCAGAATGGAAAAAGAATTTAAACCACCAGGTGGATTCTGCCACTTCAGGCAACCCTATCAAATAAAATTTGTATTACTCCTTATCAAACAAAATTGAGATTAAAAATAAAAAGAAATAATACGGATGGCACTGAAAGAAATAACTAAGTACCTTGCTGTGATTTGTCATCATCTATGAAGTTAATGGAATCAGAGCCAGTTAAAGAACTAACTGAAGAAACACTGGACTCTGTGGGAAACAAACGATATTAAACAAATAAATAACTGGCAACCAGACAAGCACATTCGCATCATTTAAATACAAACTGTCTAGTAGCGCAGTTTGAAATCATTTATTCCTAGCTTGTGAATTCGTGAATTGAAAAACTGATCAAATTACCAATCAATAGAAAGCTGCTATATTAAGAAATACTATGTTCTACTGATAAGATATAATCATTTCCAAGGCAGGCAACTCACTCTCTCCTTGGATATGAATGTTGAATTTAAAATGTATTATAAATGTTTTCAGATTCAAAGACTAAGAAAGAACAAGACCAAGAATAAATATTGTCATACTACATTAGAAATATTACATACATATATATTTAAAGTTCTACAAAAGTCATCAAATCTAGGAATTAAGGAATTATTTTGAAAGAACAAACATTTTGTCTTATTAAACTTGTATTTAAAACCTATGTCTCTTATAAGATCAGATTATAAAAGTAACTCCTGTGGATAAATAACACTAAGTAAATGAGCATAAACTTTTGTAAAATAAATAAATCAGTGGTTGTCTCTAAAACTTATACTACGAGCAACCCTTGAACGAAGAGTTTTCTATGCGTTGTTGCCATAGATACTTTTAATAACTACTAATTTGGTTCTAAAATGCTTATTTTATTTTATGAAATTTCTCAATCTTCTCTAAGAAGCTACAATTTCTATTTGGCTATGAATATGAACAGATGGATAGATTAATAAAAATAAAACTGGCCAGATAGAAATTGGCCTATTATCCATAGCAGAAGATGGAAATTAAAAAGTTTTTGAAGCAAAATCATGCTATCCTTTCTTTTCTAAGGAGTTGAATAATACTTTATGTATGTAAAATTATCAGTTTTTAGTGGATCTTACAGAATGCAAGGTACATAAAATTAAAACATTGTAATGAAACATAAGCTGATGTTCACTGATTTTTAAGTGTCAATGGCTTCATCAATACAACGTAGCTAGAACAAAGAAGTGGCTGTCAGCACTGGGTCAGAGAGGTCCCTGAGGCCTCCTGTTTCCTTCATTGTCACCAAGAATTAGTTTTCTCCCTTAAGTTCTGAAGGTAACATGATACCTATGTTAACAATATCCCACAAACATCACCTCAAATCATATTACCTAGGGATATCTCTATGATGGTGCAACTTACTTCGATAATACTGATTTCTGGCTAGAAGGCAACCAATGGAAGGTACTGATGCCATGGCTTTACCCGTGAGAAAGCACACAAGAAGCTGTGAGCATCAATCTGAGAAACAGCAACAGAGAAAAGAGGCATTGATATGAATAACAGGGAGTTTTCTTTTCTTTTTTTCCACGTGACTGTTACAAAGTATTATCATTTACCATGTAATAAATATCTGATAAAAGGAATTTAAATGTTTACGCAAAAGTTCAACCAAACATATTGCAATAAAAAGATACAATTAAGTAGTACATTTAGGTCGAAAAGAAAGAAAAACTATATGTCCAACTATATACAATGCACAGAACTTACTCCATTTACAACAGACCTAAAGGTCAGAGAAAAAGTGTTAACTCAGCCATGAAGTAGTCACTCACCTATTTGTTTTCTCCAATTCGTTCTTTTAAAATAAACGCGGTTCTAAAGTTTCTTCAGAAAATACATGCTTTGAAAGAACCAGTTCTTAGAGATTGAAGAGAGGCTGCACCACCCACGCAGGCCCAGAGGCAGGCGCGTGATCGGGGACCCCTGAGCACACCTTATATTTAGAAGCCCCAGGCTGGCTGGAACCTGAGCTGTGGGTGACTTGGAGTGAGGTGGGTACACAGCCAGTCAGAGGCGGCAAGCAAGCACTCCCTGCACTTCTGCCCTCCAGCCAGCCAAAGGCCCTCAGAACGCGGCAGCCTGCCAAGTTTGGCTGCAGTCAGCAGGGAAGGACTTGGCCCGATGCTCCTTTGGACTCAGCCTGTTTAATATCACAACCGCTGGTGACTACAGAGAGGGGGGCGATACACAAGTGTCTCCTCAGCCTTAGATGCAATCACACACTCCACCTGCAGCACCACGCTGGGCACGTGTGGGATGCACAAGCAGCCTGCTATCTGGCTGGGGAGACTGAACATACCCTCCCACAGTTACAGCGAGGCAAGGCAGAGTCGCACTGTCAAAGGAGAGCAAGAAAACGCTCTAGGCAACATTGAAGTCGTCCCGGAAGTGGGACAGAGTCAGTAGAACTTGATGAACAGATGGACCGTGAGTGAGAAATTCTAGCAGGAATGACAAGAAACAAATGAAAATCATGGGTAATAAGAGGATATTTATGACATTGTATCAATATCATTTACTGATACAAAAGCTAAGTTTTATTCTGATTTCAGTAACATTTCTCCGATAGATTGCTTTGCCCTTTCTTTTCTTTTCTTTTCTTTCTTTCTTTTTTTTTTTTTTTTTTTCTGAGACGGAGTCTTGTTCTGTTGCCCAGGCTGGAGTGCAGTGGTGCGATCTTCTGTTGCCCAGGCTAGAGTGCAGTGGTGCGATCTCGGCTCACTGCCAGCTCTGCCTCCCGGGTTCACGCCATTCTCTTGCCTCAGCCTCCCGAGTAGCTGGGACTACAGGCGCCCACCACCACACCCGGCTAATTTTTTTATATTTAGTAGAGATGGGGTTTCACTGTGTTAGCCAGGATGATCTCGATTTCCTGACCTCGTGATCCACCCGCCTCGGCCTCCCAAAGTGCTGGGATTACAGGTGTCTTTATGATACAATTTATATTTCTTTGGGCATATACCCAGTAATGCAGTTGCTGAGTCAAATGATAGTTCTGTTTTTAGGTCTTTAAGGAATTGCCATACTGTTTTCCACAAGGGTTGAACTAATATACACTCCTGCCAACAACGTATAAGCCTTCCTTTTTCTCTGCAACCTCGCCAGCACCTATTATTTTCTGACTAAGTGCTATCTTTTCATTGATTTCTAAATCTTCTGGCTTGTCATGAGATAATTTCTGATTTTTACTCATTTTTGAAGTCGTCTATGGAAGTGGCTTTCTGTGCACTTGAGAAAAATAAACATTATTTATTTGCTGTATACTGCCATTATTTTACATGTATCTGCTAGATTGCATTACTCAACTTTTATAAGCAAACAATTCTTATACTTACCAATGTATTACTGCTTGATCTACCACTTTCCTGTATGAGTATATCATCTAATTATATCAATTTTTTTTTATGAATTTTGAAGTTTTGTGATAGGTGCACACAATAATCACGACTGTAATATTGTCTGAGTGGATATTTGCCTTTGTCTTCTTTTATCATGACTAACATTTTACCTTTGTGCTGTTTGTTTAATTAGTCTAATATTAATATTATAGTACCAGCTTTTTCTCTAAGTAATCATCAAGTATGTCTTTTTGCATCCCTTAATTTTCAACTTGCTGTACCAATCACTTATAAGTATCCTTTAACTGTATTTTTTCCTAATGATATCTGTTTTTTGAAATATTTGAGTAATTACATGTAATGGAATTACTCACAATTTGAACTTCAGATATTGAAATTTTCCTACATAATTTTTATGTCTCAGTCACTTATATGCGTGTGTATACTTTAAAACCTTAATATAAAAGTAAATGTAGTTAATTTAACCTTTGTCTGCACTGCATTTTGAGTGAGTACCACAGTGTTTCTTCCAATTTACTACTTCTCTTTTTAACTGTATCGTACCTAAAATTTAACTTGTATGTATGTATACACACACACACACATATGTATGTATGTTTGTATATATATTTACCTATGTAAATTTAGTTGCTTTATTTCTGTCCTGTTTTTCATAGTTCTTTCGTTTGTTTCTCTGACCATCTTTAACATGGTTACTATGAAGTCTTGGTTGAAACCCTCTATGAAATTAGCATCATTCCATGTGCATTCTGTCACAGTTGTGACTCTGTTGGCTGGCTTTCTGAGCAGGAGATCTCTTCATAAGTTTTGGCTGTTAGTTTGCAGGTTCATTTCGAGTGTTCTCTCAGTACCCTGCACTCTCCCACCCACTAGGCCACCTCACCTCTCCTGGCCAGTGGCACCATGGGGTTCAGCTACCACTCTCACCTGACCCTAGTTTTTGTGTCTTTGAATTATAACACTACTCACATTTTATTAAGTTATTTACTTCTTTCACATATTAAATTGTGAGCAGGTCAAAGATGGAGGTGCCTCTATTCATTTCAGCTTCAGCAATGCCCAGCACAAAACCTGACAGATATGGTAGTTTAGGTTCCAAAAATGTAATAAAACCAATGCATTCCTTCTTTGCCTGGTAATAAGGATTACATTCTTGGGTAATAATTAAAAAGTCACAACAGGGCTTAGATTTAAATGCTATAACTGACATAATTAGAGTAATTTTTACCTGATTGCTGATTCATGGTTTTTTTTTTAATACCCAAGTACTAAAATTAATCACAATCACATTCTCAGTGAGTATTTTGTCCTAGAGTTGAGGGTGCTAACATTTTTACTTGATAATGACAAGAAGAGAGTGACTGCCTGATTCCAATGACATGCTGAAAACCAGCAGGGAAAATGGTGCTGTCCTCTGCACACTCCTGTTCAGACAAGTTGTAAGATGTGCCCTACTGAGGTATCATCAGCCTCTTAAAGGGTTGAGAAAGGGTTCAGAAAGACTAAGTTATAATTAGTCAACTGCAACCCTTCTGAGAGATGATCTGTTTATCACATGTAAGATACTATTACCCTTTCTAAATTTATTGACATTGGATGCAGTAGTAAATAGATATCAGATTGCTGGTTTCTGGAGCATGGAAATCCATGGCAAGAACAATGGCCAAACTTGCTGATAATTCACCATGACCCTATGTTGTCACAGACCACTGGTCAAGTGTGCAGTAAGAGAGGATCAATATCTGACTGTCCTGGAAGACTTAAAATGTCTAGATCTTATTCCAATCTGTGGTGATAAGGTATCTGATTGTTCATACAAGATGTCAAGAATTTTAAGTGTGTCCTGATATTCAGGCCAATAAATGTGCTATATTAAGCATAACATAGTCACTCCTAATAACTAATGCTGCAAATGAATATGTGTAGCATGTATTCTATAAACACATGGCAATCTGCATTAAAACACTGTTTCATTTCTTAATTGTTGGGGAAAAGGTTGCCAAAAACTAGTTATTGACTATCTCTGGGTCTCCACAAGTGATATATGAAAAAGGAAATAATAATATCTAACTTTATTTGAAATTCATTTTAGTTTCAATACATATAATTCAATTGTTTCTTTAAATTTTATATTTCTCTGAATCGTCTGTAGTCTATCCATTAATTGTCATGATTTTGTACAACAGAAACCAATCTCATCTAGAATCAGGAAACAATTTATTGGGAGAATAGTGGTCAGTTCATACAATGATTAGGAAGCATAGAGCAGTGTGCTCTCATGAGCAGGATTCTCCAGGAAAGATCCTGGGAGCCTATACGGAGTCATCTGGTACATGAATTGTCAGAGCCAGGACACGGCAGGAGGTGCACCCAAACCGCTTCCCATGGCACTGGAGCTAAAATTGCCACAGCCACACATCCCAAGGGCTGGGCTGCTGGCTCCTCTAGACAGTATCTAAAAAGTGGCTCCCTAAATCCAGTGGGCATCCTTACTCTGCCTCCTTACACTCTGGCTGTTTAGTGATCCGCTGATAAAGTTGTTCTTATCTAGAAGAAGGCAGCACAAAACAATGTAATATTACAGTATGCTCCCCAGAAAATTCTTGCCCTCCTGCTTCTTGGGGGATGAGAGATTGGGGCTGAGTGCCCTCTCTTACTGACCCCTGGCTCATATGCTTTCGGGATAAATCCTGTTTTTCAACCCATACTATGTGATGTTGTAAATTCTGTCCTGAGAGCTATTGCACTTTTGGGAGTCACTCAGGAAAAAAGCAGGCTTAGAAAATGACAAGAACCAAGTACATTTAAGCAGAGAAGCATCTGCCCAAGTCACAGGCAGAAAATGGTGAGGGGTCTGCTGTCATCTATGACGAAGCCGCCAACACAGAGCCCCCAGCGGGCTGAACTTAGTGGCTAACCCTAGGCCAGGCGATTGCCTCTAGCTTCATGGAGATGGAGAAGACACGTATCCTTGTAGCAAAAACTGCTGTCTTTCAGTATCTATTCTCTTCTTTCATTTTTAACATTTATTAGGCATCATCCACTCAACTAGGCAACCCATTTCTCAGCCTCCCTTGCAACAGGGAATATGTCTGGGCCAGTGAACTGTGAGAAGTGTGTTGTTCATCTTTAAGATCATCTCCTTAGAGACCAAGCCACTTGGCATGGACTTCTTTTTGGCTTACTGGCTGGAAAATGTTACTCACCAAAACCACCATGGAAAAGGCCACATTGTGAGGATAGCTTTCCAACCTCAGGGTTAGTACCAGAGAATGAAATAAAATTCTCTTTCTAGGCCTTATCATGTTCTTATTGTTATGAGAGATTGGCTTGCACTCTGACCATTAAAATCAACTTGGACTTCAATAGGGAGTGGCACAGAGTGTTAGGTTCCTCCAAAATAGAATAGGTCTTCAGATGCTGAACTGCCAAGGAGCAAAGGCTGATGTCACCAGAATGTTTTATTGTCCTTGATCCTAACACGTATCTTTTGCTCTGCTAAGCAGTCCTAGTCATTTCCTTCCCCTTGAATGTGGCAGCCTCATTCCCACCACGTGTCCTAACTTACATTGTTTACGCAACTTGCAAGTATTTCTCTTTTGCCCTTTTTCCTGAGTCCCTTAAAGCAAAAGAAAATTAAGGTAAATGACTTCCTGATTCATATCTGTATTATTATTGGATGGAATAATGAGTCAGTTGCCTATCATGCAAATATGCAAACACTGAAAACCAAATTAATCTCAGTTTTCATCTTCTCTCCTCTGCCCTGCGTCCTCCCTGCCTGGCTGCCAAATAGTAATCATACTATAAAAACACTTTTTGATCAATTATTAGCAAGCACTGGTCTGGAT